TAGAGCAGGCTGAGAGCCGCGCCACTAGAAAAGTGTTGCTGCTGCTGCAGTAGGTCCTCTCCTCCTTGTCCGCCCCACCGCCCTCCACAGTCGCGTGGGCGCACGACTAACGCGTCGTAAATTGAGATTTCTATTTATTGTCAGCAACTTTGATGATGCGACGTCCATCCGCCACACTGTGCAGCACAGCTCCAGCTCATATAACTACCAGCAGCTGGAGCTCCGAGAGAGAGAGAGAGAGAGAGAGAGAGAGACGTGACTAACTCAGCGCGGTCCGTCAATTTAACAATGTCGTTCAAGCATTTTTAATGGACTTTTAAATTTGCTTTTATTGTTATCTGTTTGCTTGCTCTCTCTTTCATCTACACTGATGCACGCACACACACATATGCAAATGTATTACACTGAACAGTACATATGCACGCCTGGCTTCCGTTACTGTCCTTGTTGCCGCACCATTTTCCATTTATTCAAATGCTAACGCTATTTATAGTAATTCACTTGCACAGGGGTATATTAGCTATATGATAGAGCTCTTGAAATCTGATGTAGGTCTTAAAGTTTTTGTGTAATATATGTCTGATGAGGTCCGATTTTTGATGAGGTATTAACATTAACACATTATAATCTACCATATTATGATGAGGTATTATTTTCTAATAGAGAGCCGTTCACATGTTTACTGGAACAAAAGCCATCTTATGACTTGAAACTTGTGTCTTATAAATTAAGCACAATAAATAAATAAAAATATATATACATGTATTTTGTATACTTTGCTATGCCATCCACTATATCATCTAAATTTGTTATTCATAGCGAAAATGATGAGATATTCAAATCAGATATTTATCATATATTAGCTAGCCTAGACTTTAAAGCTTCTTCTATAATCTAAAAGAGTAATCTATACTTAAGCACTAACTAAACGGCCTTCAATTACAAACGCTGCCCACATGCCAAAACCAAACCCATATCCAGTTACATTCACCCACGGAAAATGCCGAAAACTTTCCATTTGAAGGGTAATCATGCAGTCGTCACTGCGGCCAGCTGGATTTCGAATTTCTTTGTCTAGCACTCGGTGTGTTTTAGCAGCACTTTGGCGGCAAGTTTCGTGGGGCAAGTGCTGGACAAATAAAATTAACAATAGTTGCACTTAGCACATTCAGCTTGGATTTGATTGTGTTCGCGGTTCGTGTTGCTGAGCTTGCTCGAATGTTTTTATAATATTTGATCTAAAGCGATAAACTTTTACCCACACACAATCACTTCGCAGGAACTGCTGTGGGTATGTGTGTGTGTGCCAATGGGTTTTGTGCTATTCCTGGGAAGTGTCAATCACAAGCCAAATCCCTGGAGAATGCGCGCTGTCACTTGGCCGATAACAATAAATTGGTTCGCCTTTTGTGCGTTCGCCTGTGCGAATGTGTGTGTGTGTGTCTGTGTGTGTGTTTTTGTGCGGCAGAGTTTAGGGCCCTATTATGGAAATTAAATTGATATTTAAGTGACATGGATAAATTTCAGGCCCCACGACAATGTTGACGGCAAATTGTTTAGCCACAAAATTTCTATTGAAAATTTTATGAGCTCAAAGGCTGTTTTATGAGGCGACGAAAAAGTTTCATCTCAGCCTGACTTGCCACTTGGCGCACGGCACGGAACGGCACGGCACGGCACGGCCTAAACCTCAAGAAGTTGCATTGTTCTGACCGCTCCCAAAAGTATGCTACGCAAACCTAATGAGGTGTGTGTGGTCAGCTAATGCCTGTGGTTTAGCCGAGCCAGAGCTGACTGCGTCTGGCATTTGACCTTTTGGCTTTTGGGGCTAGCCGCTTGGCTGATGCTCGTTGCTAGCCAAAAAGGGTTTTAATTAATATGTAAATGATTGTGAGCACGGCAAGGGGCGTGTGGTGTGTGCTGCGTGCTGCTAAGTTCAGTTCCCACTTGTTCAATTAAGACGCTTCATTCGGTAATGAAGTAACTCAACATAACACGGCGTATGCGTGTTGCCAACAAATTAAAATGAATTCAATTATTTATTGAATATCTAACTTTGCTCTTAGTCAAAGAGTTGGCCGCCTTCTCGCTTATGTACATATTTCATTTGTCGACAAACAATAAACAATAAACAAGCAGCAGTTGCTTAGGCACACATTTATCTATTATACATACATACATATGTGGGCAGTTGAGTTCCTTTATGCTAAAGGTGGTCAAGTTATGTTTTTTTGATTATGAATTTCGAATTTACGGTTGAGGGTGGCAGCTCTCTGTGCTGGCTATGCTATTTGCAATTCGCATTGCAAGTACATTTCCGGTTTTCGGAAATGCATTTCCGTTTCCGCTGCCGGCGCCCTGACAAAGTTGTGCCGCAGCAAACTTTGCCGCACATAAATTTCCAGTTTGACTAAAATACCAAGCCGACACACATTCTCTCTCTCTCTCTCTCTCTTTCTGGTTTCTCTCTCTCTCTCTTTCTTTCTCTCTCTATCTCTGCCAGTTGCACTTAGTGGCTATTCAACCAATTGGGTTACACAATTTTGATGCAATTTATTGCATTGCACGCCTCAATTGGCTGCCCACTTGAAAATTGATTGGATTTGATTTGATTTGATTTTCATTAGCATATTCATGACTGATTGATTATAAAGTGCGCCGCAGACCACAAAAAAAGGCAAGAGACACATACAAACATTCAATGAACGTCAATTTGAAAAATTCAATTTTAATTTAAACTCGGCAAAATGCAAAAAATTTCAGCTTCAACTGAAGACAGCTCAGTCACACTTCGCTTGCCTGCAGCGACTGTTGCCTTTGTTTGCCGCTGCACAGCCACGCCCTCCACCCACTGTCATTAAGGCGAAGGAAGGCACAAGAAAATGAATGGACACACAGCACAGCCCTTTGATTGCGGCCTGTTTGCTATATCGCATTTCACACCGCGCACAGCAAAAAGTTCGCGCTCGACGGCTTTTCTCTTTTATATTTACTATATATTGCATATGTATGTACATACGTGTGTATATATATATAAATACATATATTTTTTTAAGGTGCTTTTTTCATCTTAAGTTTTTTGCTGCTGTTTGCCAGCACGTTGACAGGCAGCTGCCCGCGGTGCATTTGTTTTTATGTGCGCGTGGAAAATATTCAGTCAACGTTTTACCTGACATCGATATGCTTTTGCAGCTTTTAACAGCGGCTTCCAGCTGAAGCTGATAAAGTTCTCACAAAGGCGTTATGTAATAAAAATTGATTTAAAGTCTTGAAAGAGTTGAGAGTGTTAAGTATTGGCTTTCCGGTCAAATTTCATGGACAATAGCTGTTGCTTAAATGATTTAAAGCGGAAGCTGCTTATATTATAAAGCTGGCGCTTTTCCTTGACTTTTCTACCAATAAATTTGTAACATTGTAATTTATATCTTTAAAGTGCAATAAATAATAAATAAATTGGACTATCACTTGAATACTATATTAATATATTTAAAATTTATTTCCTTCAAATATAATAAATTACTGAAATTATAAATAATACATCTTCTACATTTAGTGCAGTTGAAAAAAGTCGATTAAATTTTTTATTCAAATTTTTGCATTTACTTTAAACAGATATACTTTTATATATTTTATTTATGTGTGCTTATCATTTTAGCATAATAATTTATATTTGACCATAGCATAAAATATATATCGTAGTAGATAAGCCATCATATATTTTACACAAAAAAAAAAGAAAGAAATAAATAAAATAATATTAATATTCACATGTGGAAAAAACACATGAAATATTTTCACGATATTTCCCTTATTATGTTCAGGCCATGTCAACTGCCTGACTGGTTAATCCACACACACACGTACACACACACCAAACTCCTGGGCAGCCACAATGTGGTGCTGCGGTGCTGCGGGCTGCTGCCAGTGGCAGGTGCATTGGCTTGTTTGCGACTCATCTAAATCAGGCAGAAGCAGCAGCAGCAGCAGCAGCAACAGCAGCAACAGGAGAGGCATCAACAGGCTGGGGATTTGCCGAGAACATAATAAATATTTATTAGGTGCGCGTTGTCGCTGCTGATGCCAAAAATTAAATTTGTTTTCATTAGGGCAGACAAAATGTTTAGGGCGAGCCGGCGAATGCATGCTCCAGCAATTCCGCCCACACTATAAGCTATTGTTTGCTGCTTAAGCATACGCGAAAATGTGCTCCAAATTAAAAAGGGTATACGTCGTCTCGTGGGAGAAGGAAGCAGCTGAGAAAAGAGCCAGAACGCTTGACGTTGCTGCCAAAACATTTCACGGGCTTAATTGTGCGCAAGCCAAGCAGATAACAAAAAAATAAAATAAAATAAAGAAAAGACGAACAACAAAAAAAGGGGGCAATATAAAAGGAAAACCTAATGAAAAAGTTTTCCCTCGCTGAAGAACGAAACGAAAAATGAGAAAACTGGCTATGAAAAGCGCGTCGAACGCGAAAATCGTTAGAAAAGCAAAACAATAATAACAAAAAGCAACAATTCAAGTAAATATGCGCCAAAGCGCAGGCAAAGTAACAACACAAACAAAAGCCCCAACAACGATGGGGCCACAGAGGAGCACAGGGCAGGGCAGCAAACAAAATCACAATTAACTGAAAATGACAAAAAAAAAAAAAAATCGAGTATAATTCAGTTTTGACTAAACGAAGTTTAAACACACTTTCTAAACTGTATAAGACATGCATCAACGGTATCATGTGCCTGCTCCCGCTCTCTTTCTCTCCTTCTCTCTTCAACTCTCTTTAGACTTTTAACAGCTCCAATTAAACTCAAAAATATCTAACTAGATCAACATTTGATACTTTTTGAGCATATCAAGCATAGGGTATAAAGCCTAGCCGGATGACAACGAAACAAAGAGCCTCAAGGATATGCAGTCAGTCACTTAACTCACTGTTAAAGAGTGTTGGCGTATGGTGGGCCTGAGACTGATAAGGGCGTGACAGTGAAGAAGGCAATGCGTGTGCGACACATAAAATATTTTAATTGCGAACCGTTGGCTGCCAGGGCAGACAATTTGGATAATGCTTGCAGCTATAATTAAAGCATCAACTTGCAACAAATTTCCAATATAAATGATATAAATTCAAATTTCATGTCCAATCGGAAGTCGAAATATGGTCGCAGTTATTGGTGGAGTTTCTGCTTCAGCTCATTTCTCACTCGCTGTTTTACTCTCTCTCTGTCTCGCTCCCTCTCTCTATGGGTTTTTGAGACTAGGCTTAGGTATTGTAGCGTTGTCGGCATCGTTTCATGGCCTCGTTGAAGTCACGGCAGACGTTGAGATCAGTGTTCTCCTCGCTGCACTTCAGGAACTGGCGTATCTCGAAGGCGCAGGGACCCTCTTCGACCAGTTCGCTCTGGCGTTGCTGTTCAGCTGCCGGCTGCTCTGCCGCTACCGTCGCCTTGCCGCTACCACTGAATGCACCTGTGATGCCAGCGCCTACAGCATGGCCCACGGCAGAGCCAACAGCGACACCGGCTGCCGTAGCTGCCATATCCTTCATCACGTCGCCTGTGGAGCGCCCAGAGCTGGGCGCTGCAGCTGGAGCTGGAGCTGGAGCCGGTGTCGGTTTTGTCTCTGCCTTGTTGGGCTGCACTGCTGGAAGATTCTTGTTTTTGGAACCGCTGGTGAATGGAGTAAAACCACTGCGACTGCTGCTGGCGCTACTGCTGCGGCTTCTGGCATATCCGCTCTTGGGCGGTGCATTGGAGCGTTGACGCGGCATCTAGAGATATGTGAACAAATCTGTGCAGGCGGCCAAAAATTTAAGCAAATATTTTTGTGCCGATATTGAAAAGAATTTTGAATAGGTATATATATATATATTTTTTTTTTTTGGGTTCAACCAAGTTTTGAACGTTTTACAAAATGAATTTAAAGCCAACGGCAGCTGAGCCACTTTAAAAATCACATACACATATACACATGGGTGTGTTTGTGTGTGAGTGTGCGCTTCCCCAAGGACTTGGCATTTGGCCTTTGTCAGCTTTTTAGCCAGCCAACTAATTTATATAGCTTTGGCAGGGTACCAGCTGGGGCCAAGGGCTCAAAGCGGTTAATTGCCAATGTGCACGACCCCCAGGCGCCACCTGGCGGTCGCTAGCAGCACCAGCTGTTCACACAGACTTTCATAGTTTCTCTTTATTTAATGTTTTTAATTAGTTTTCATTTCGCTCGCGCTAATTATGACCACACATCGAGGCAATAATGAAATTGTCGGCATTGAGTCATGTGAAATTCAGTTAAAAATAAACTAACTGTGCTGAACGATTTCCCACTTGTCCCGTGCCAAATTATGTTAGATTACACAAACTATTTGTTAGCAATTCCTGCGAGTCCTCGCGTTGGCAAACACAAATGAGTTTAGCTAGGAATGTATTGGACTTCCTTCCAGTTCGCCAGACTCGCTCTCGTTCGACATTTGCTCGTGTATAGCTCGTGTGCCCAAGTCAAGTATACTCGCTCAGAGGCGCCTTCAAATTCATTCTTGGAAAATTTAGCCGCATGTTGAATTGCAGCGGAAATGCTTTAATTACCACAGCACATGCAAAAGTGCTTTGGGTCGAAGCTTCGAATTTCGTTTGTGTCGTGTTCTTGACTTCGCGAGAAATGAAAATACATGAGCGAAATTAGCCAAGCTGTTAGCCAAAAATGTAAAGCATAATTCAAATAGAAGCACCACTGATGTGACAGCTACACGCAGTCAGTGTGACATACGAGCCCAGGCAGCAAACGGAATATTTCATCAACTTACCGAGCGGGGACATGCGGCTGCAAATGCCGCTTGATTGATGCAGGGAGATGCCCGAACCAACAGAAACTGACGCACACAGTAGATCATAGCCAGAGACAGGGCCTGCGCCACAGCCAGGCCCAGGCGCTCACACACGATATGGCCTACTTAATCAGCGGGTGGGCGATCACAATTTACACTCCTCGTGTTATGAATATTTCAGCAAATTATAAAGTGCTTTGGGTATTCTTCTCTGCTCTGCTGCTGTCTGCAGCTATCTGCCGAATTGCTATAACGGCGACAACAACAACAACAACAACAGCAGCAGCAGCAGCAACAGCAGTTGGGCAGCGCCAAAGTACCAAACTGGGTCTCAAATGCTAATTTCATTTTGTTTATTGTTTTGGCTACAACTTAATTTGCCCGTCTCTGGCGCTGAAATGTTTATAAATCAATCAACATCAATAACCGCAGCGAAACACTTTTCAGCCCCAAGATGGATAGACTTCAGCTAGATTCGATTCGATGCCTTAAGTGCTCGAATGGACGCAATATGCAAAATAGAGCTCGTATAGAACGGTTGCTTATAGTCTACGTTTTTTTTTAAATTTTTTTTTCTTTCTGTTCTCCTTTTCTTTGGGGCCCACGCTGCGTATGATGAACACTTGGACTTTACTTTGCTGTTTTGCATAGACAATTGATGTGATAAAAAATTCCAAAACACAACTGGCTATAAACATCGCGTCTGATTCGAAAGTATATAATAAATAAGAGCATTAGCTATGGATATTGTTCTGTTTATTGGCCACAGCCCAGATATGGCCTTGATATATCATTTAATGGGCTCTTTGCTATCGTTTCCTTTGCAGGATATTATCATTCACATTAAGTTTGATTTTATATTTCAAGGTCTATATAATAGTAAGTCCTTGGTAGCTATTATCCCATTAATAGTTTAAGCTTTAGCAGGATATAACCATTGAATTCAATATGACTATCTTACAGTCTATATATTACCAAGTCTTTAATAGCCATTTAGTAAGTCTTAGCCCACTTTTATTCAAAGAGTTTTTCGCATATCGCATTTGCTTTAATTTGCTTTCAGTTTTTTTTATTCTTTTTTTGCATCATTTACCGAGTTTCCCATGCGCTGCTCGTGGTGCATTAACATAACTTTTGACAGCCACTTGAACAGTTTGAAAATTTCAACAAGCTGTTGCTATGCACATGTGTATATGTCTATGTGTGAGTGCCTAAAAGTGGCAAAATTTCAATTAAAAATTTGCACTTTTGCACTTAGCCGGGCAAAGTGCGCACTTTAGATGCATATCAGTTGAGCTAAACGGGTGCAGAAACTTTCGATGCAAATGCAGCCGCAGGCTGAGCGACAGGGCGTATGATTAATTTTAGTTTGTAAGCAGCGAAACAACAATAAGAAGGTCAAGCCAATAGTGTGTTCCCATATACTTATTTTCTTCTACACAAAGAGGTCAGCGTGTGGATTATACAATTGTTGCATGCTTGTAATGTGGCTGCCTCAGTGTTGCATCAGTGTTGGGCCAATTGACCAATCTCTCAACACATCCGTGGCGCAACATAATGCATAATTCAATTCCTCAATTATTTTATATGCGCAATTTGTGCCAAGTTTGTTGTGGCCGCAAATGTAAATATGCTCAAAGCAAAGAGAAAGAAGGAGTGATGATGGCAAGAGGAGAGTGGGTGAAAGAGGGAGAGTGAGACGGAGAGAGAGAGGGAGAATGAGAAACACAATTAAATTTACATTGCGGCCAGAATGTAGCCGAGTGCATTTATAACCGTTTGCTGGCAAAACTATGGCCGAGAAGAAGAAGAAGAATGTGCCCCGTTTGAAATGCGGTAAATTACAGTTAACGATTTTGTAGCACTGCAATTTGCCGTTATCTTTAGATTTCTATCTATGGCTTTTGTAAATGCGGCGTCGGCGTTAGCGTCGGTTTATTTTGCATGCCACTCCGGCACCTACGTGCAACGTGCCGTGCCACCTGCCACCTGCCACGCGTCTCTCGTCTCTCGCCACTTGCCACACACGGGCCAAAGCGAACGCTGGTCATTGGCCAAAGCCAACGCCATTGTGGTCAGTTACAGGGCTTCAATTGTGTGTCGTTGTGTATGAATGCGTGCTTGTGTGTGTGTGTTGTACTGCCCCATAAAGGTGTTGAAATAACTACTGCACAATACCTTCTTTATGGCTTCACAAACGGGTATTTGAGTCCTGTGATGTAGTGTGTAACGCAGGATGAAAGGGAATAGTGGAGGGTTACATCTTATAAATTCTATATATGAATATATGTATAACACATGATGATAGACCCTGCTGCATGATGAAAGCCATTGCTGGTCACATGTTCTAAGATCCAAGCCTGCTCCATAGCAATACCCAGAATAGAAAGCTGCCTCGTTTATTATGATCACATGATCATATAATCTACACGATGTAAGACGTCTATACCATAAAATAAAATATAAAATACAATACAAAAATACTTAAGAAGTCTATACCATAAAATAAAAGATTTAATAGATTCATTTTCTATAAGATGAAAACAGAAGAATATTTCCAGATACTTTAGGAATGAGTGTGCCTCAAATTTATTAATACGAATAAGATAATAATATGTGAGCTGATATTAACTCTGCTAGAAGATGAAGCTTTGGCAGTAGAGCAAAGTATTTATAGCAATGATATAAAAGAACTTCACATTTAATAACTTTTCATTCATCTCATATTCAAGCCGAGGGATGTCAATTTGGAATATATTAAGTAAGCTCATGCTAGACTCATGCTAGCACTGTTGCTCCTTAATTACAAATGCTGCTAATACAACTTAATCTGTTGATAAGACGCTGTAAGCGTATAATGTATTCGTTCTGTCGGCCATTCAGTCAGCGGCTGGCGTTTCCTTTGCCGTTGCCCTGTGCTTCAATTGTTATGGCCTTTTATGGCGATTGTGTTGTGGGCGCAATGCAAATTGGCGGCACATAATTATGTCGCTGGCACGAGTACAACACAAGAATAATAGAATAGAAAACGAGTGGGATTACGATAACATGGGAGTAACATGGGAGTTGGCTGGCAAACTTTTTGCCTTTGCTAACTGGAATTTGATTTGCTTTGACCAGAACTTTGTCCTGTCGAGCTCTGCTATGGCATGTCGTTCTGTCCCTGGGTTCCCCGGGTCCTGTCTAAAAAAACTTTTACCTGTCTAATTAGCAAACTGACGCTCGAGCAGGTAATTTTCATCGAGAGAGCGAACACACTTTATCATGCCCATAAAAAAGAATTGAAAAAACTTTTAATTTGCTAACACCATGACAGCCCGAATGCACTGCAATAAAAACGGGAGACCCAACAAGCCTCAAATAGTACTTTAATGAAATGCATTTGAAATCCCAACAGCTTTTTTTGTCAATTAAAATATAGTTTTTATGATGTGAGGAAAGTGTGTGCTAAAAAAGACAAATATATGACTGATTTAATTATTAATAATTTAGTTAAAGAGTATGAACGATTTATAAGTTAAACCGCAAACTGCAATTCCCATAAAATCGAGTAAATAAATTATGGGAATTGTACAGTTCAGTTTTTCACTGATTTTAAGCTGTTTTATTTTATTTTTTTCGTTGCAAGTGAAAATGTTGGAAAGTCCTGGGCAAAGGCTGGCAGGTGGTGATTTCATTTGCCAAGCTGCGCTTTCAACGACTGACAGGTGAAACTTCCTTGGCGCTGTTAATGCAATACTCCACCGCCAGCAGTTGCCTTGACTAATGATCGCGTGCCAATGCAATGGCTAAATGCCATTTGGTACGCCGCTTGCCGCTCGCCGCTCGCCGCTCGCCGCTTGCCGCTCGAGTTTGCTGAAGCGGCAAAGTAACTGTCACCGAGCCGTGCGGCAAACAAATGAAATTCGGTGGGCGGAGCGGGTGGGCCATAAAAAATGGCCGCGGCCTAAGTGAGTTGGCCAGCGTCAGAGCTTCGGGCCGAGTCATTTTTTAAGCTTAAGGCTGGCCATTAGAGCAGCATCTTAATTATATTTACATTTTTTGCATATATTGTGCGCCTTTGACTACTGTTGCTGCTGCTGCTGT